ATACTCTTTAACTTTTTTCAGTAATGTCTTTGATACTCTTTAATCTTTTCTAGTGGAATTGAAGGAGGTTGAACCCATGCTGATCAGAAGTGCCAACCATAACTCATTTTTTGAGCTGGCTGTTTGCAATGGGTTTTACATCTTCTACAATCATCCTGTTTAAGGTGGCTTTATTAACTGCCATTCGACTCTTATGACTAAATATCCCCAGTACTCTCCAGATTCCTCAAGTTACTTTGGGTCCTTGGTCCCACATGATCTTTCCAGTTACTTTGATACCCTTTAATATTATCTAATACTGTCTTTGATACCCTTTAATTTTTTCTAGTAATGTCTTTGATACCATTTAAGCTTTTCTAGTAATGTCTTTGATACCATTTAAGCTTTTCTAGTAATGTCTTTGATACCCTTTAATGTTTTCTAGTGATGTCTTTGATGCTCTTTAATCTTTTCTAGTAAACTATTGCTAATAAGTGTGTCATTTCCATTGGTAAATGTTAATCTCGGGACTAAGCAAAGGCTGAGACAGGTACAGGGTAACCTTAAAATTAAACCCCAATGCCGTGCTAAAGACTGTATAACCTCTATATCTGAAGTTTGGGCTTCTGGATAGCTGGGTGTATCATATCAGATCGTGGCTGCCTCCACAGAGATGGACACACTCCAGAAGTTACTGCAGATGTAGAAACCAGGGTGTAGCTGCCAATCTGGTGCTATGAACAGGACTGACAATGAATTGGAACAAATCATATCTAGCACCCTGGGTAATATATGAATTGGAGAGAAGGCTTAGAGTTGAAATCCCATCCTGTCCTGAGAGAATGTATCCATTGCCAAAGCCCAAAGTTGAGATACTGGAGACCAAATTGCTAGTAGTTTGGTGTTCCAATGAGTGGCCAACCCACCAATCAGAGTTGCAAAATGAAAGCCAATTCAACAGAACCTTGCAATGCAGCATCTATTCTGTTGGGAGAATCTTCTTGGGTTGAGACAATTGACCTGTTACTGTAGGCATCACCTGTGGAATATGGCAAGCTAGTAAAGTGATATGATAGGAATGGTTCCAAGAAGGGAGATCCAAAATTTGAAAAAAGGAGCCCTGGACCAAGTGGGACAGAATATTGGTAAATTGTGTTAGTTTACTGTTATAGACTAGATGGACTGATGGTACTATGTGCTAACTTATTGTTATAGAGTGGAATGGACTGTTGGTACTGTGTTAGTTTACTGTTATGAAGTGGAATGGACAATTAGTGCAGAGTGTTAGTTTACTGTTATGGAGTGGAATGGACTGTTAGTTGAGTGTGTTATTTTACTGCTATAGAGTGGGATGGACTGTTAGTAGAGTGTGTTAGTTTAGTGTTATAGAGTGGGATGAACTGTTAGTCATCCATGCGTAGACCCTGAAATTCCTGACTGTTGGTATATGCACTCCATCTCTAAAGCAAGGTGTTCGTGAAGAGATGGAACTCTAGACAAGGTGGCAGTAGAGGAACCCATATCTTAGTAGTGTCCTGACTTAACAACCCCTCAAGATCAAAGAATGATCCAGACTAAGGAACTAGGGAATCCAGTGAATTGATGTCTATGATCACTTGGTTGCATAAAAATGTTAAAGGGATATCTTGTGCTCTTATCCCAAAGGCATGGGGGATTTTAGTGATGCCCCCAATCCCAGAGGAGAAAGAACCATCTATGCAGTGGGAGAAGGAGAGGTGAGTAAGAGTAAGACTTCCTGTCCCATACCACTGAGCCGGATGGTAGTCAGCTGAGCGTGACTGAGAAACAAGATGAAAAATACTAAGACTGATGAAATACTGAATTAGAGCAAGCATTGATGTCTCAGCCCTAAGAATGAAGCCTGCCTTGGTTGTTTCTGAAATTAGAATCAGTATGTGATGTTCTGACAATTTACAAGATGTTGCTAGCAGTAACCAGTCGTCTATGGAATGATGTATGCACAGTGCGATGGAATGGAGGTGATGAGAAAAACTTGTACTATAAGGCAGCACCCATTTGTAGCTGATGCAAGTCCGAAGGTAAAAACTCGGAATTTGTGCACCACAAACGCCAATATTGGTGGGACTCCACTGCTAAGGTAAATTGCAGATAAGAGCTGACTACAACGAACTTATACATCCACAATCCCAGTAAAAAATATAAACTCAGAATGAAGAATGAGTATCTTGTGAAAATTGGAGAATCTAGGCATTGATATAGACAAGAAAGATCGATGACTGGACACCAATCTCCTGCCTTCTTTGGCCCAACAACCAAAGGGAATAAAACCTCAGAAGAACTAGCACGACTCTCTCGTCACCCCCAAACCAACCAAACTCTGATAGCCCTAGAACTAAATTCCAAATCTCGAAGATCTGCAAGAGACGGAAACACTACAGGTTGGATGGATAATAGTGGTGAAGATGTGAACTGAATAACTAATCCTGATTCAAGAATCAGTAGTGCTCAGGTACCGTGGTTAAGGTTACCACACATCCAGAAATTCTTAGAGCCAAGCCCCCACAGACCCTGAAGGCATACAATAATCACCAACATCACTGGCAGTGATTCGACCGAACAGTGAAACCCTTGGATATATGTAGAATCTATTCTGGGTACTAATGTACCGAGAAGCTGATTTTGGAGGTTGTGTCCCATGAAAATGGGTGGAACTATGACCTCCTATAGGAGCTGATGAAATTTGAGATGCCATCGACAACAGGGATGAATGTAGGAGCCGATAATTGAATCAATGTGCATGCTAACAATGGTTCCAGCTCTTCATCAGTGAAGTTGGTGATCCTGAGAGTCTTTCAACAAAGTGAAGTTAAATTAAAACAAAATGTTCTATTTAAGAGTTGTAAGTCTGTAGACTTACCTTGTCTCATCAGGAAACATTGATCAATTCAGGTTAACTACAAATTCCTCCTTAGAATCCCAAAATTCGAGGAGCAGATGTATCATTTGAGAGTCGTAAAATTCTTCAACGGTGGTAGGCTAAATCATGAAGTTCCTTGCATGAACAACAATGTGTGTGGATGGAGAGAAAACTAAAAATTTGCTCTCAAGTAAAGTGCAGACTCAAAAGCAACTGGGGAAAGATCCAAAACATCACACTCTTGATTACCAAATGAAAAAACAACTCAAAGGCAGCTTATCCCAATGTGACAGTGTTGACTTCTGTTGATTGGAACAACACTTGGTCAGGTAAGTTTGTTTTGTTAGAGCAAAGCAACGTTGAGCTATCTGTTGTGTCCACTATAAGGAATCAAACCCCAGATTCCAGCACTGCAAGTCCATAAACCCACCATTATCCCACAGGAGGACTGGAAAGCCAAAAGACTAAAAATAGATGCAGGAGAAACAAATTTAAATGTCGAGGATCGACCTCAATTGCAGCCTCCTGGAGGAACACCACAGAACTGAATATGTCTCCATCTCACTACAAATAAGATCTCTGACAGTTTCAACCAAGAGTGACTACCCCCCCTCGATTTTTGTACAACATTAGATATCAGAGGTGGGATAGAAGAGACTTGACTTGCCTTTTGCTATCATTATTATTATTACAAAAATCAACTAGGTAATACGGATAACGTTCAAAGTATCTTTGAACAACAGTAATACTTGGAAACCCATTAGTGATGCTTTGTCAAGAAAAAGTGATAGCACTGTCTGAATGAGGTAATATAATACAGTACCAGGATAGAGAACGCATTGACATAGGTGGAGAGTGTCATAAGGACTATTGAGTGAGGTCTAAAAGACTGGAGCAAGCGAGAAAAAATAAAATGAATGCTTAGATGGGCAAAGGAAGAAACCCTGGCAGTTGAGTAATAGCTATGAGTATGAGAGGAGGTAAATATGTTTTGGAAGACATTACTAGACAAGCTTAAAGACTGAAAAACAAGATATATAAATATATTATACTAAGTGACAAACTTAAAGCAAGTAAAAAACAAGAGAAAAGTAAAAACACTACTGCAAAAAAGATTAAATATTGTCAAAAACTTTATAAAGTATTCCAGCCATATACATGAAATTTGAGAGAAGAATAATCTAAGATTACTGGAATTATACAGTGTGTCCCAGATACACATAAAAAATGGATAATTAGACACTAACCAAAACTTCAACACTTTGAATATATATATATTAATATTAATAGCTACTACACTTAATAGAAGAAAAAGTCTATTTAAATTTGTTTTAAAAACATTTTTTAGGAATGGAATCAAAAATAGTATGTAAGTCATATGAATGCATCCCATCTGATTAGGAGTAGAGCCTGAAGTAAGTTTTTACAATAATGTAACATGACACCCTGCAATATTGATAAAAACCACTGATACACAAAATGCCCTTGATAAAATGGTTGGCTGGTACCCCATACCTACAATAAAATTTTTACTGGTACACTGAACCAGACCAGCTTACTTTCACAATTGCTCTTAAATTTTACTAAGTTTAAATCCAAGCTTTGACAGTTCTGTTGATAGTTTTTACTAAGTTTAAATCCAACTGCTGGGCCATGCCCAGTCATTAACACATTAGAAAATATATAATGTTTCTCAGGTACTTACACACTAGAATTTTATAAAATAATTAATTTTCTATCACGATACTAAAGTTCTACATGTTCTTACATATTGGAATTTTATAAAAGGATTAATTTTGTATTAGGATACTCAAGTTGTACATACACAATGGAATTTTATAAAAGATTAATTTTGTAATAGGATACTAAAGTGTACATGTACTTAAACACTGGAATTTTATAAAAGATTAATTTTGTATTAGGGTACTAAAAGTTGTTCATAAAGAGAAATACTTCTTATAATTAACAAACCATTGATTTTTTATAAACTGATCGTTAGTGAGAGAACATATACACTTTCATTGAACTATCTCTGTGACTGACAGAAGTACACTGACAGCTGAGAAACTCAATGGTTGTCTCAGACTCTTTGGCTACTGAATAAACAATAATGAATAACCTATTTAATGGTTAATTAAAATTTATATTTTATTCAAATGAAATTTACATTATGTATTTTCACTCATCTTATAAAATATAACATGCAGGTTAATCTCTCCAAGTAACTTCAACTTCATCAGTTCGGAACCTAAAAAAACAAGACAAGTAAGAAACATTGTTTCAATAAGTAAACCCTTCTTTCAATAGAATTTAGTTATATTCATTTAAATATTTGCATCTTGCCCTTTACAAGTTACATTAAACACCTGAACATCAAATCCCTCTATAAAATCTGGAGTAAACATTTCAATTTACTCCTTCTGCTGCAGAACTTAGGCAAACACACAGGAAAAACTTTCCTCTATATAACATAAAGCACATACTTTAAATAAATTATGATAAACACCTACACATACCCTTCTCGTTATATAAGTTATAGTTAGAACTCCTACGTGAAAGAAAAGAGTGTATAATAATACGTCAACCACACTCTCTCTACTATACCCAGTGCCGATAAGACCTTTCTCCCAGGCTAGCTTAGACACAACAGATATAGCAGTGGTGCAGACACTATTAATATTAGTTAATAAACACTTTAGTACACCCCCTTCTATATGAATGAGATATATTAAACACTAGTTATATCACTTTCTTTAAATATGTTATAGTAAACATTAAACTACACCCATGCCTTTAACTAAATTATGATACTCATTTAAGTATACCCATCTCTTTACAATAATTATATTAAATACTGACGTTTGCCCTTGTCTTTACAATTTTAGTAAACTCTGAAATTTACCTGTCTCTTTACAATTATAGTAAATACTGAAGTTTACCACTCTCTTTACAATTATAGTAAATACTGAAGTTTACCACTCTCTTAACAATTACAGTAAATACTGAAGTTTACCACTCTCTTAACAATTACAGTAAATACTGAAGTTTACCACTCTCTTAACAATTATAGTAAATAGTGAAGTTTACCACTCTCTTAACAATTATAGTAAATACTGAAGTTTACCACTCTCTTAACAATTATAGTAAATAGTGAAGTTTACCACTCTCTTAACAATTATAGTAAATACTGAAGTTTACCACTCTCTTTTAACAATTATAGTAAATACTAAACTTCACTATTTACTATAATTGTTAAAAGAGAGTGGTAAACTTCACCCCTTCATTTACATTACTGCAAACACTGACATGTATATCTCACTTCAAACGAAGTTAGGAAAACAAGTTCAATAACTTAAAAAAAAAGAGAGTAAATAAGCCCTTTGCTTGATGTTACTGATTACATGTTACTCGTCAATTTTACACATTTATATCAACATCATTTAGAGATATTGCCGAACAGATATCTTGATTCCTTTATGGTTCAAACCAGTAGTATCATAAAAATACTAGATATAAATCAGCCACTTCTAACTAAGCACTGATCAAACAAGTTAAGAATCTGAACAAATGGGTCAGTCCAGCTTTAAGTTGTGCAAGGAGGGGACACCAAAATAGCATATAAATTTGAATGTTAATGGTAAATGAAAGGGACACTGGACTGACATATCATTTCGATTGTTAGTTTCTTATGATCGGGATACCAAACTGACATATCAGGTTAACCGATATTGGTGCCAAAAGTGGACACTAGATTAATGTATTAGTTTCTCATGATGGTAGCACCAGACTGACATGTCAGTTTGACTGTTAGTTTGTCATGATGGGGACATCAAACTGATATATCCATTTGAATCTTAGTTCCTCATGATAGAAATGAAAAACTGACACATCAGTTATGCATGAAGAGATACTAGACTGACATTTTGGTTTGACTGAAAATACAGGACAAAAGTAGGATATTTCAATTGCCTCCATCATCCCTCACAACCATTCCTCACCACTTCTTTACTGTATTTGCATAAAAAAAGGAAAGAAATCATTTGCATACAAATCATTAATTGCAATAACAAAACTAATGAATGATAACAATTAAACTCAATTCATGCTTAGAATCAAAAAGTTTATTATCCAAAGTACTCTGTTGTTGCAATCTGACTTTCAAATGGAAATACCTTGCTAAATGATTATGAATAAAGCTAACAAATAAAATTACATTAAAACAATACATCTAAGGTTATCTGTTTAGATCCTTGACTTATTCAATCTCCTTCTTAAATGTTTAACACATTTCACCACTATTTAGTATCTTTTTGGGGGATGCATTTCCAGCACAGGAATGCTGACTTGTCTGTTATAAAATGATGTTTCATACTTTTCTTGAGCTAAATATCTTTTCTCATTATCCTCAGTTTTGAAACTGTACTTTCAGATTTTGTTTATTCTTTATGTGTTCCTGATAACTTAGAAACAAAAGGACCCTGAGTAGGTACCAGATAATTTCTTTGAGTCAATTGTGTGAGGTAGACTTTTTTTAGGGTGCTGACACCTTTTGTGGCTTTGGTTTGTTTGTTTTGAATTTTGCGCAAAGCTACACGAGGGCTATCCGTGCTAGCCATCCCTAATTTAGCAGTGTAAGACTAGAGG